GTGCTCTTCCGAAATGGGACATTTTCATTGCAAAAAAAAGAAAGAAAGAAAACAAAACAAGCTTTCGGTCTCATTTTTGTGGCCGTCTTAGAAAACAAATCCAGATTTGGATGGTTAAAAATCAACCCATTTTGTTGCTAAAAGAAGCAACGGATCTCGTTTGAATGGCAAATGAAGTGGCAAAGTCCCGAAAAAAAAACAAAACAAAAACAAAACTAAACCCACATTTTGTCCACACATGTTTTTTTGTAGTCAAATGTGTCATATTAAAAAAAAAAAAAAAACATACGACGCTTTTGTCCCCCCCACCCCTCCCATTTGTGTGTGTGTGTGTGCGTGCGTCTTACGCCCAGCATGTCGTACGAGTGCGGCCGGTCTTGTGGGATTTTTTGAAGGCAAGAGTCGATGAAGTTGTGGAAGTAATCGGTCCTGCGAGAGTGACACGATTTAACTTTAGGATGAAAAGGTTTTTGGGCAAGCGTGCAACCACGCAGGTGGCAGGAGGCCGCCCGCTTCTTTTTGGGGGAGGGGCATCAAAATGCGTACGTACCATTCGCTGGACTGCAGCGTGGGACTCTCATTCTGCGCGATGTGATATAAGGCACTCATGGCGTTCATGTTGAACAAGGGCGGCTTCCTCTCGGCTGCGACGGAAACAAACGACGACGAGCGGCGTGATTTGGGCGGCTCGGCGCAGAGACTTTGGCGCGCTTGCAAAAAAACACGGACGGCGGAGAGCCGTTACCAAGTTCGATGCAGGTGATGCCCAAAGACCAGACGTCCACTTTGCCGTCATATTGGCCCTCGTCCATGGCCAGGATCACCTCAGGCGCCATCCTGGGGGGCAGGGGGGGGGGGGGGCAAAATCCACTTGGATGCAACCAATACTTACGAGTTGATCTTGTTTCCCGTTGTGGACTTTAATCCAAGCATTTCTCGCTTACTTTTTCAATGCTACATTTTTCTCCACACTTGCCCCGCCCCCTTTCCAGACAATATTCGAGTTACATTGTAAATCCCATTTATCAGACCTCCTGCCAAAAAGCGACGTGACCTGACCCGAAAGTGAAAAGGCTCACTTATCGCATCAAAACGTGACTCGCGATGATCGACCGCGATCGCGTTTTTTCAGGTCAAACCCGAAGCTTTTGGAGCAGGAGAGCGGGAGCGAACGTTTTGCACAAGTCAGCTAGATTGTCACCGACCAGTAGGGCGTCCCCACAAAGGAGTTGGCGGGCGAGGCGATGGAGGCGGAGCCAAAGTCGGCCAGCTTGACCTGTCCCGGCTCCGTCAGCAGGATGTTTCCCGCCTTCACGTCCCTGCCGCAGAGGAGCGAGGTGTTAAAGTGGGCGGGGTGAATTCGGGTGTCGGACGAGGGAGGGGCGCCACCTGTGGATCATGTTGTGCGAGTGCAGGTAGGCCAGCCCCTGCAGGGCGCCGTGCGTAATGGCGGCGATCTCCACTTCCTGCAGAGGCTTCTTGTGAACTGCAACACACGAGCGGGCGTCAGTCAGTCCGTTGCGCACCAGGACAACGAGGCGCTCTGAAGCGGCCGTGCCACCGCAAAGCCCCGCCCGGTCCGCTTTGTGTGTCCCCCTTCCACCCGCTTCCATCTCTCTCCGCACGGCAGGCCTGTCCTCGCAGCCGACAACGAGGCGCTCTAAATTGTATTTTGGTGCGACCGGGGAGCTCACCTTCCAGGAGGTCCGAGGCTGAGCCCAGGCAATACTCCATCACCAGCTGTGCAACACACACGCGCACACACGTAAGCACCGGAAACTCTTTTTCGGATTTCCATCATCACCACGGCGACAGGCCAAAGGCGAGACTGACCCAGGCGGTGTGCTCGCGCAGGTAACACCCTTTGTACTCGATGCTGTTGGGGTGGCGGATCCTCTGCAGGAACTTCACTTCCTTGATGATGTCCTGCCATTTCTGGGAAGGCCAAACAAGCGACACTTACTTACGAGCTGACACACTGACCGTTGCCGTGCGCTTCGTCCATGAATCCAAATGTGCCCCGCAAGTCTTTTCCACACAAAATAGCTTCACCTCGTTGGACTGCTTCCCACTATACGACATCTTCTTGATGGCCACCACCTCGTTGGTGCGCACGTCGTGTGCCTGCGCGACAACAAATGACAAACGAAGCACTTTGTTACTTGCACACTTTGCCAGTTCAGCGGTGAGGTTGCTACGAAGTTAGCGAGCTTGTTGTGTTGGTGCATTGCTCCATTGGGGACTTTGTCCGTTGGTTCGTTTGGTCGTTACTTTCTTCATGCGTTAGTTAGCTGAGTCATTTTGGATGAAAATTTCGAAGGGAGAAAAAAAAAAAGAGTTCAAAACCAAAGGAGGGGAGGGGGCACATTTCAAAATGAAGACCTTGTGTCAGTTTGAATTTATGACAACAGCCGGCAAGAGGACGTGAACACAGACGGCAGGCAACACGAAGAGTTGGACGTACAAAGTAGACGGCGCCGAAGCTGCCGTGGCCGATCTCGCGCAGGTCCGAGAAGAGTTTCTCGGGGTCTTCCTTGAAGAAGAGCTCGGCCACCTCGGGGTCCTTCAGGCTCCCCGCTCGCACCGACGACGGCATGCCGAGGCCTGGCGGGGCGCGCCCCCGCGAGGACCTCGTGCCACGCTGAAACCGCTGAGCGACGCCGGAGCGGCCCCGCGCTCATCGGCGGGAACGTCTGCCGGGACAACAGGGAAGGCAGAAAAACAAGCAAAGACATCACAATAGCACAACAACAGTCGCGCAGGCCAGGGTCCCGCCCATGAATCGGACGGGATTTGTTTCCGTAAAATTTGCCAAGGCGGATGAAAATCCCCGCTGCAGCCTCAACAAATGACCTTGAGTGATTCGATGAGGAACAGCGTTAGCGGGAGGTGCGGGTCTTATTTCTGTCCACCGGGGGAGGCCATCCTCACGTTTTGCTGTCGTATCTGTGACTTTTGAGTGGCTTTGCTAGCCGGGGACTGGCCTGGGGAGTGACACGGGCGTCCGCGGTCCAAAGGTACATCATCGCAACCTTTGCGATCCAATGCTCCAGAAGGACAAGAAGAAAGAAAGCAAGTCAAAGGTTGCCGTTTGCAAGCCTATTGGGTTCAGAAGCTCTTCCTCCCAGCCTCATTCCGGAAGAGGGCAGCTGAAGATGACCGCGGCTGTTTTCGTCGCTTCTCGTTGCAGCCACGAGGCCACGGGACGGCTCAAATGGTATCGCACCCCTGGCCTGACAAATTCAGACCAAACCAAGTGCACTTTCGCACAAGATCTGACCAAAGTTGTGGCGTTCGCTTTCGCGCGCCGACCCTCACCTGGACATCGCCTTCCCGGTGGCAGATTTGTCCGTGCTTCTCTTTGCGTCTGTCTACTCTGGAATTTTGGCCTGACTGACGCCGGATGACTTTGACGGCAGGCGAAAAACAAAGTCGGCGGGCATTTGGAAAAAATGATTTCCATACTGGAGTGACCATCTCGGCCGTCTTGGCCTGACGACCGCATCGAACGCGCCCGACACACGTCGCTCCGTCTCTGCGGCGAGGCGACGCAAGCAACATGCCTTGAAAGGTGAGCAGGTGTGGGATGAAGGCTCGTTTCTCACGTCCGGGGCGCTTCACCTGGCCCCTCCAAGCAGACCGCGATCAGTTCCTGCGCCTGGAGTCTTTTGAGAAGTGAGCAGTGCGCTCCATGTGAGGCACCGCATAAATCGATCCAAGGGAATCGCAACACTTGCACTCAAGTGCTTCTATCCAAACATGAAGGGGGGGGGCATTTTGCTTGGCCAGCCCCAAGTGGACCATCGGCTCTTCCCTCACAAGGCCGGCTGCTTTTGACAACAATCTTGCCTGGTGGCGCGACCCCCCCTCGTGTGAGCGGCTGCGTTGCGGGGGTGGCGCGCTCGCTTTCTCTGCTCAGGCGGCTTCTAAGCAGGCAAACGTAGCCGTTAGCACAACACTGTCAATGGCCGCATTTTGGCCCCTCGCGCATCGTCGCGCAACAACGCAGACAGTCGCACAGCACGCAAAGCAAACCCAAATGTCACCCAACTCGCACTGGGGTTCGTCCCGAAAGCTGTCATCGGCTCAGAGCGTGACAAGAAGCAACTTGGTCTTATCCGGCTAGCCTAGGCACTTAGCATCCGCGCTAACCGCTAGCCGCGCGAGACCCACCTGGCGGAAGGCGAATCCCCGCAGCGAGCGGCGGGAGCCGCCGCCGCCGGCAGCCGGAGAAACGCGGCCGCCGCCGGGCGGCGACGACGAC